TTTTTTTTTCTTCTAGTTCTTTCTCTCAGACATGGGAACAAGGAATAAGAGGAAACGTTGCTGTTCTATGTTTGCGCTGGTGCTGTTTCTGGACAGGACACCCTCCCCTGTCAAAAAACTCTTAGTTCTTTGAGCAGCAGCTCTCAACCTATGGGTCTCGACCCCCAGAAGGGTCAAATATAAGATTCTGCATATCAGATAATTTACATTACAATTCATAACAGTGGCAAAATTACAGTTATGAAGTAGCAATGAAATAATTGTATGATTGGGGGTCACCACAACATGAGGAACTGTATAAAAGAGTCGCAGCATTAGGAAGGCTGAGAACCATTGATCTAGAGTGTAGTGTTCTCAGTTACCAGACTGTGGTGATATATTGTGTACCCTAATAAACTTGCCTGGGGATGGGGGGTGGGGATGACGACACACAGAGCCAGCCATTAGATTAGATGTAGAGGCCAGACAGTGGTGGCACACACCCTTAATCCTATCACTGGGAGGCAGAGATCCATGTGGATCTGTGAGTGCAAAGCTACACTGGAAACAAAGTCAGGCAGTGGTGGCACACACTATAATCCCAGCACTGGGAAGCACACACGCCTTTAATCCCAGGAAGTGGCATGGCTGGGTGGAGAGAGGTTTGTGAGCTGTGAGGAACAGGAACTAAAGCAGTTCAGCTGACATCCTTTGGATGAGGGAGGGCTCAGGCTTTCAGTCTGAGGAGTCAGAATCTGCCGAGGAGTTGGTGGGGTGAGGTTGCCTGTGGCTTGTTCCAGCTAGTGTTTTTTGTTTTGTTTTTTAAGACTTATTTTCTGTGTATGAGTGTTTTGCCTGCTTGTATGTCTGTGTACTATGTGTGGCTAGTACTACAGAGGTCAGAAGAGGGCATTGGATCCCCTGGATTGGATGGTTGTGCACCAACATGTGGGTGGTGGGGATTGAACCCAGGTTTTCTGCAAGAGAAACAGTGCTTTCAGCCACGGAGCCATCTCGACAGCCCGTGTTACAGTTTTTGTTTTTAATTTAAAGATTTCAAATGCTTTCCTTATTTATTTTCATTGAACTGTCTTATAAAATACAGTGGTTGCATTTTGTTGGGCATTTTTCATTAGATCTATTTTTCCCACATGTTATTTGAGATCTGGCAAATAATCTTTTTCTTAGTAATATATTTATGTCAATTTAAAAGTGTTATTCTGGGTTATTTTCCAGACTTTCTAATTTGCATCATAGTTGGCACTTTATATAGCTTCTTAACAGATAAGGTCTTGTATTTTTCTTCAAGAGTGCAAACATGAACTTCTGTTCTTTGCTCAGCTTCTCAGACTGAGCTGAGGCAGAGGAGCTGGTCAGTTAATGTTTTTTGAACTCTTAGCATGATGCTCTTCTAGGCTTTGACTTCTTTTGATTTTTATTTGTTTCTAGAGAACATCTTATGTGTCGATACCATAGAATTTTTATGAAAATTAATTTAATGATTTAGTATCAAGTATAATGGATAGTCTAAAGAGATAGTCAGCACAAACACTAACGTTTAGGTCATTGCTTTCAGTGAAATGGCCGTTGTATGAAATCAGGGGTAAGAGAGGTCGACAAGTCAGGAATGGTGACATACACCTATGATCCCTTGGGGACTGGAACATGACTAGGTTACATAAAGAAACTAAATAAATAATAGCTAGGTAAGTAAGTAAACAATATAACCAGGTCTGAAAATGGACTTGGCAGTGGAGGTTGTGTGGTCCAGTGGATGACCCTGTCTACACAGCATGTGCACCGCTTTGGCCCCCGGCACTGCTCTAGGAAAGCTGACCTAAGGTGCTCTCAGCTGCTGTCGGCATTTCCAAGTCTGGTCTGCAGACCCTGTACGTAGCTTTCTCTGGACAGAGGACCCTGAAGGCCCCGTTCTGAGCCATAGCGAGTTACCTGTGCTGTCTGTATTGTTCTTCCTCACACTTGGTGTTCCCTCCTTAAAGTGACCCCTGCAGCTTTTTCTTCTTAGTGCATTGAGTCCCCCTCCTGTCCCCTTTATTTTCAGTTGGGGGAGGGGGAGGGTGTCCTACTGTGTTGCGTAGGCTGGCCTCAAACTTTAGAAATCAGGTGATTTTCCTGTACCACCCTCCCAAGCAGCCGGGACTACAGATGCATGCAACTGTGCCCAGCTTAACTAAGGTACCCTCTCTCTAAACAGCCTTTCCTTTAGAAAAAATTGGTAGACATTCATTTACATGATAGTGTGCCGTTTTCATATTTGTATGTCGTATGTTTTGATGATATTCACCCCACCCTCACTTGTCCCCTCCCATCCCCTCTTCCTTTTAAAAAAAAATCTATTTTTATTTTTTAAAATATTTGTCTGTGTATCTTTTTTTTTTTTTTTTTTTTTTTTAACAAAGACAGGGTTTGTCTGTGTAGCTTTGCGCCTTTCCTGGGACTCACTTTGGTAGCCCAGGCTGGCCTCAAACTCACAGAGATCCACCTGCCTCTGCCTCCCTTTTGAGTACTGGGATTAAAGGCATACGCCGCCACCTCCCGGCATCTTGTCTGTGTATCTTTATGTGCATCTGAGTGAAGGTGTCCCTCAAGTCCAGAGGCGTTGGATCGCACTGGAGCTAGAGTTAACTACAGACAGTTCAGCCTGATGTGGGTGCTGGGGACTGAGCTCTGCTCCTAAGCCAGGGCAGTGTGCATGCTTTTAACCACTGAGGCAATCCCTTCAGGTGTGTGTCTCCTCCCTCTGTTTTTTTAGTATTTATCCTGTATGTTAAGTATATTGTTAAGGCTGTATGATCAGCCTTAACAATATACTTCCCAGGGGCTCAGAAGAGAAACTGAACAGCGAGATTTATTTTCGGGAAGTGAGTCTAAGGACACCAAGCTCTTTGTCCTCTGTAATAAAATCCTATCTACACAGCTGCAGTTCTGTGCTCCAGCCTAGTTCCTTTCTTGCTTGATTTGTCTCTATCTGTTGTCCTCTCTAAGTTCTATCTTGATTCTCTCATCTTAGTTCTCTGCCTCATCTAGGTCCTTCTCATCTTGTTCTTACCCATCTAGTACTTCCCCATCTGGCTCTTCCTCATCTTCCATCCTGACCTCCAGTTCTCTAGTCAAAAATCCTCTCTAGCCAAAATCCTCAATATCCTCTCTTTGTTCTCCTTATACCTCAGTTCCTTCCAATCTCTGAGGTGTTCAGTTATAAACCCAAGCCATAGGTCACCAGCCTTGAATTCTTACAAGACTCGTAAAGGCAGGTAACTGGCCTCAGGCACTGGCCATCAGACTTCTTTTACAACCCAAATGACTGCTAATGATCAGTTAGTCAAGAAGGGAAGTTATGTGCTCAATCTACATGCCTGTAAGTGGTTAGGTAGGAAATTAGGAGTCTATTAGTAAGGCTGTAAGGAAGGAGGGTCTCACCCTAAATTGTTCAAGAAATAAAGCTATGCTCCTGACCTAGGAGACAGGTGTTGTTTTGTTTGGCCTGGGATGCTTATAGGTATTTTAGATAAATACACTCTTAGGAGTTCTTGGAAGCACGCACAGCATTACAAGGAAATCACTGTAGGAACTAGCTAATATATATACAAAAGCTAAAATAATCACCAAGACTTTTTGTTTGTTTGTTTGTTTGTTTTCTCGAGACAGTTTCTCTGTGTAGCTTCGGAGCCTGTCCTGGAACTCTGTAGACCAGGCTGGCCTCGAACTCACAGAGATCCAACTGGCTCTGCAAGTTCTGGGATTAAAGGCATGCGCCACCACCGCCCGGCTCACCAAGACTTCTTAAGGCATGGCTTAGCCTTTGGAGAAGTCCTTGATTTTTTTCCAAGTAGTAGCTTTTGTGATAGTAGCTGAATTCCATTACGTTTCCCTGTGGCTTACAGCATAGTTATATGTGTTTTTTATGACCCAGTAAGCTTTGTTGGGGTTTCTTATAGGAGCTTGGGTATCTCACCAGCTTACAACTTCCGGGTCACACACTCCATGACTGAGAAAGTTAAGGCAGGAACTTGGAGGTAGGAAGTGAAGCAGAGACCATGGAGGAACACTATTGGTTTACTCTCCATGACTTGTTCTTTATGTAACCCAGGACCCACCTGCCTCAGGGTTGGCAGTGCCCCTACTGAGCTGGACCCTACCACGTCAATCATTAATCGAGAATATTGCCCCCACAGGAATGCCCACAGTCCAGTCTGTTGGAGGCATTTTCTCAATTGAGGTTCTCTCTCCCCAACTGACAATAAACTTTTAACAAGTACATCCTGTGACTAGAGCGTGTGTTGTCTCCAATATAGGTTGTTCCCCTCTAGTTCCGATGGCAACCAATTCCGGTGGCACTTGCTTGTATTTTTTTTGGAAGCTACAGAGGTTTGCCTGACCAACAACTTGTAGGGGAGGTATCCCACTCCTGGGCCGGGGCCTGGGGTTTTTAATGTAATATAACATGGTTTCATATAAAGTGCCTCTTCAGAATTTTTATATTATTAAAAAAAAAGCTGACCGAGTATCAGGTTTCTTTATGTCATTTGCATACATTTTTAGTTTTGGTTTCCCCTCCCCTGCCTGTTCCCATGTCCCCTCCCCCTGTCACCGTTCTTAATTAGAGACTGTCTCAGAGCTAGAACTTCCTGTACTTTATAGCATCTCATTCATCTTTCAAAACTAGAATGGATAGTTGTGGTGTACTTAGCTGACAGAGCACTTCTTGAGGACAGCATGGACTTCATTTCAGGCTTTTTTACCTGGTTAGTCCAGTACATGGCACCTAAGCAGGGAATATTGGGTAAATGGCTTACTAAAAAGACAAGCTTTTTTAATGACAGTGTATGGTGTATATAAGTTTTACTGTAAACCATGGGCAAGGCCTTCCAGGGAAGCGAGTACAACATCCATCCTGACTCTGTTGTAAGAACACGCTTCAGGTCCAGAATGGAATGACAGGCACAAGTGTACTGTTGTAAGTTCTTGTCTGTGACTGAGTGGCTTTTCATTAGTGTTTGATTTCTTTCTTTCTTTCAGGAATTGTTGGATAAGTATTTAATAGCCAATGCAACTAATCCAGAGAGTAAGGTCTTCTATCTGAAGATGAAGGGAGATTATTTCCGGTATCTTGCTGAAGTAGCATGTGGCGATGATCGAAAACGTAAGTATATGTGACCTATGGGCAAATGCAGAATATATAGAAAGAAGTAGGAATGGGCAGTCACTTGTCACTGTGACAGAGTATCAGAAAAAAACAGCTTAAAGGAGAGATTTATTTTGGCTTCGGAAATTTCAGCCCATGATTCACTAATTCCGTTCTTGTGTATACTGAGGTAGGCAGACTTGAGAGAATATGATGATGGAACAGAGATGCTCACCTCAGTGCAGCCAGGAAGCAAGAGGGTTGAGATGCTAGCTAGAGACACGGTGTAGCTTTTCAGGACACTTCCATCAGATCACTGACCCATTCATCCTTAAAAGCCACACCCACTTAGATCTCTATCTTTAACATGTTTCCTAGAGAACAGTTCATGTTCAAACCATAACAGGATGAATGGGGACATAAGGACAGTAGTCAGTAGGTTGTTTGCAGGCTCTTGGTAACTAAACTCATGGGGCTTGTCCCAGTGGTGGCCACACCCATGCCCACATGGCAGCACTAATTAGACTCAGAGTTCCTAATAACAATGAAAAAGAGGCCATGAGGTTGTGGGGGTGAGGGAAGGGGTGATGGTAGATGGAGGTGACGAAAATACAGTGTACAGATGTATGAAAATTTAAAAAGATAAACAGTATTGAAAAATTTCAGATTTATTTTTATTTTCCAAGTGTGCATGTTTTGTCTGGATGTGTATCTGTACCTGTGAGTGCCTAGTGCCCTTGGAGTTAGTGCCCGGAACTAGAGTTTACAGATGGTTGAGCAACGTGGGCTGGGAATTGAACCTGGGTCTTCTGAAGAACTGCCAGTGCTCTTGACCACGAAGTCATTTCTCCGGTCCCTTCAAAGAATAAATAAATACTATTTTTAAAAATTGATGCTGAATGTGGTGGTGCATATTTTTACTCCCAGCACTTAGGAGGCAGAGGCAGAGGCAGGTGAGTTCAAGGCCAGCCTGGTCTACAAAGTGAGTTCTAGAACAGCCAGGGCTATGTAGAGAGACCCTGTCTCAAGTCTTGTTTATATCAAGAAAATTGAATGTTGCTCTATGTTCCTGAAAATGAAAATATACCAGGAGGCTGGAGTAGGATTGTTTTTAGATCAACCTGGACTACATAGTGGTACCCTGCCTCAAAACAAGGAAAGTGTTAGAATTGGGCTCATGGGTGAACTCTAGTTACACTTTGATATTAAAGCAGGCTGAATCTTTTGTGCTTTGGGATTTTGTTTGTCATACTTTTAGCTCCACAGTTCTTTACACACACTTAATCAGTTCTATATTTCTCATAGGACATAGAAATAGGATGTTGTGTGTTATATGTGTGTGAGTGTGTGCTGGGATTTGAACCCAGGGCTTCATATATGATAGGCAAAGACCCTACTCCTGAAACTATATCCCCAGTTCTTCTTTAAATTTTAATAATTATTATTATTTTGCTGGAAATTGAACTTAGAGCCTCATACATGCTAGCAAGGCAAGTGCCCTGCCACTGAGCTGTGTTCCTAGCCTCACTTAAATTTTGAGACAGGGTTTCATTAAGTTACCAGGCTGGCTTTGAACTCGCTTTGTAGTTCTCCTGTTTTACACTCCCAAGTAGCTAGGCATACAGGCCTGTTGAAGGCTCTTAGGGGCCACAGCATTGCTGTTAAAACCAAGATTTAAAGGAGGGAGGTAGGGAGGTAAGACGAGTGTATGGTTTGTTCAGACTTCATAATTTAATCAATTCTTGTGTGTGTGTTCCTGAATGCCACAGCACACATGTGGAGATCAGGACATCTACCATGTAGGTTCCAGGGATCAAACTCATTGACTGTCTTGCTGACCCCATGGGTTTTTATTTAAATACACTGGAGCTATTGTGACTAAGAATGACTCAGAGCTGGTACATATGTTCAAGTTGTTAGCATGCTATATATTGGATAGATATTTTTGCTTTTGTGTCTTAAATATTTTTTTTCTTCAACCCACAGAAACGATAGATAATTCCCAAGGAGCCTACCAAGAGGCCTTTGATATAAGCAAGAAAGAGATGCAGCCTACACACCCAATCCGCCTGGGACTGGCTCTTAACTTCTCTGTATTTTACTATGAGATCCTTAATAATCCAGAGCTTGCCTGCACATTGGCCAAAACGGTAAGGTCTGTGGGGGAAATGGGTGCACACTGCTTTGGCTGAGGGTGTGAGTTACTAAGGATATTAATTTTGAAGTATTTGGATGCTCAGGGAGGCCATTGCTTTTGCATTGTGTTTTCTTTTTTATTACCGTCTTGCCTCTTCCTCCCCTGTAAACACTACACTCTCACCGTGATTCTAAGTAGTAATGTCTGACTGAAGAGCCTGGAAGGCAACATGGTCAGAGAAATCAGGAGTAACTGGAAATCAGGAGTGCCTGCCGAGCGTGAGCACTAGAAACCCGTATCCCCCAAATGTCTCAAGGCCATGCTAGCTCTGTAAGAATTGTGTCAAGCATTGCTAATACACTGTGTGTCTTGTGAAAGAACCAAGAGACGTGTTTTAAATGAGTATTTACAGCAGGTGTCAGGTCATACGAATTCTTTTTTCTTTTCTTTCTTAAAAAAAAAAAAAAAAGAAAGAAAGAAAGCAGAGCAGGTTGATGGGTGAAGAAAAGGTGAGAACTCCTCCAGGTGGGAGGGACTTGAAGTGAGGCGACCTCCGGGTCTTAAACGGGGCCTCCAGGGCAGCAGGTCCTTCCTCGTTGGTGTGACTGGACCCCGGGGCAGTGGTCTGGGTTGCTCACCGTGCACGTTGGCTTTGCCAGGCTTTCGACGAGGCCATCGCTGAACTGGACACGCTGAATGAAGACTCCTACAAAGACAGCACCCTCATCATGCAGCTGCTTAGAGACAACCTAACAGTGAGTGCCCCTGGCGGGTGGGTGCTGTTTCCAGACAGCAGTGATTTTACTGTGCTCTCCTGTCTTCGGGCAGTGACAGAAGAGCTGTAGTCTCTTAAAAAGTGTGGAGGAAGGTCTTCGTGGTGGTAAGGTGACATTATATCAGACCTTCCTGAAAAAAGGACTGTGCTTGTAGGAACACAGTATTATTATTATTAGTTGACTATGTTGATAACAGTTAATTTGGAGAGCTTGTGTAATTTTAGTATTTCCTTTCTCTGGGTATATTAGGTATAGCAAATTAGGGATTCTATAGGGGTTGCAATCTCCTAAAATCATGAAATAGCTTGTTGTAGTAGAAGTTTACTTGGTAGCGCTAGAGAGGAATGTTGGTTGCTGTCCAGGAGGACCTGGGTTCGAGGCTCAGTACACATATATGTTCACAATGGACTTACTCCAAGTCATGAGGGACCAAGGCCCTCTTGTGGCCTTCATGGGAACTGCACACATGGAATACAGGCAGTACCTAACTAACCCTGTAAAGGGTACTTTGTGAACTCGGTGTGTTTGAATATTTGATAGAGGGTTTCCTAGTTTGTATTCTATTGCAGTGATAAAACACCAGAACCAAAAGCATTTGGGAAGGAAAATATTTATTTCAATTTAGAGTTTATCATCCATCATAGAGTGAAGTCAGGGCAGGAGATGAAGGCAGGAACCTGGAAAGCAGAGGCCCTGGAGGAGCGCTGCTTGCTGACTTGTTCTCCATGGCATGCTCAGCCTGCTTTCTAGTGTAAACCAGAAGCACATTCTCAGGGATGGTTCTTCCCATAGAAGGGCAAGGCCCTCAATCGTTAATCAGGAAGATGTCCTCAAAGAGGCTAGCCTGGTGTACAGAGAGAGATCCAGGACAGCCAGAGCTACACAGAGAAACCCTGTCTCGAAAAAGGTGTCCCCAGAGACATGCCTACAGGCCAGTCTGGAGGTATTCCCTCAATTAATGTTCCCTCTTGCCAGGCGGTGGTGGCGCACGCCTTTAATCCCAGGACTCAGGAGGCAGAGCCAGGTGGATCTCTGTGAGTTCGAGCCTATCCTGGTCTACAGAGCTAGTCCAGGACAGGCTCCAAAGCTATAGAGAAACCCTGTCTTGAAAAAAACCAAAAAAAAAAAAAAAAATGTTCCCAGATGGCTTTGCCTTGTGTTGCCTTGACCAAAAAAAAAAAAAAAAAAACACTAATTAGTACAGAGGGTAAGTGTGTACCTAAGTTTACTCTACCTCTGCATGCTAAGGCGCTGTTTTATATTTTTCTTTTTTTTTTAAAGATTTATTTATTATGTATACAGTAATCTGCCTGCATGTATGCCTATACGCCAGAAGAGGGCGCCAGATCTCATTACAGATGGTTGTGAGCCACCATGTGGTTGCTGGGAATTGAACTCAGGACCTCTGGAAGAGCAATCTATACTCTTAACCACTGAGCCACAGATGGTTGTGAGCCACCATGTGGTTGCTGGGAATTGAACTCAGGACCTCTGGAAGAGCAATCGATACTCTTAACCACTGAGCCATCTCTCCAGCCCCTTTCTTTGGTTTTTCTCCATGCTTTATTTTGTTGTTGGTTTTGGTTTTTCGAGACAGGGTTTCTCTCTGTAGCTTTTAGAGCCTGTCCTAGATCTCGATCTGTAGACCAGGCTGGCCTTGAACTCACAGAGATGATCCCCCTGCCTCTACCTCCCGAGTGCTGGGATTAAAGGCATGAGCTACCACTGCCTGGCTTTCTCCCTCCTTAAACAGTAGGTAAAGGGCATATTAGTGTTCTGTTCCTGTGACAAGGTGCCTAGGATAAAACAACTTTAAAACAAGGAAACATTGAGTTTGATTCATGAGTTTAAAGGTTTTAGTCCATAGTGGTTTGGCCATGTTGTGTTGAATAGCTTAATGGGAACATGTGTGGTGAAAGCCTGTATCCCTCCTGGCAGCCGCAGGAAAGAGACCTGTGTCACAGTGTCCTCTTCAAGGGCACTCCTACAATGACCCAACTTTCTCTAACTTGATACCTTCTCTGAGAAATTCCACTACCTCTCTTTTAAGCCACAGTGACCATGTGGGCCTTTGGGGACATTTCAGGCGTAAACTATAACAGGAGATAATTGACAAAAGGTAAAGCTTGGACTTTTTGTATGTACAAATAAATTTGATAGGGTAATATCTTAGACTTAACAGAAGGGAGCAGAGGGGAATGACGTCCTTTAGTGTGAATGCAGTTTTCCTAGCCCTGGATTGTGGTGCAGCAGCTTTTACTGGGGGGATTATGGTAGCTGTGTTTTATAAAGCTCCACATCTGTTCAGTTCTCCTGGACAGATGATGAGTCCACTGAGAAGGGAATTAGGAAAGCACTGGACATCCTTTGATGTCGACAGAGCTGTGGGCGGGAGAGATCCTCACCCCGCTGCTTCTGTGGACTTGGGACTAGCTGTCTTCACTGCTTTGGTTCTGTTCTCTCTTTAAGGAGTAATTCTTGAGAGGATTTTACCCTGTCTATCTTGGTATCTTTTTTTTTTTTTTTGGTTTTTCGAGACAGGGTTTCTTTTGTGTAGCTTTGCGCCTGTGCTGGAACTCACTTGGTAGCCCAGGCTGGCCTTGAACTCACAGAGATCCGCCTGGCTCTGCCTCCCAAGTGCTGGGATTAAAGGCATGCGCCATCACCACCCGGCTTTATCTTGGTATCTTAATAGTATTTTAAGATAATCTAAGAGCCTAGTTTTTCTAAAGTTGCAAGTAGCATCCTGGTGTTGGTCTGATAATGTCTATTTTCTGAATTGATTGAAAACCTGACTTCACTTCCTCTTTCCATTCTTAGTTAGAGAGATCTTGAAATACTCTGGTTTAGCATTCAGTTAGCACACATGTGTGCTGCTGTGTCTCCGTAGCCTTCGTCACTCCTGTTTCAATTTTGTCAGTGCACAGTAAACCTGTTGCTTTTTCTGTTAGCCCTTCATGTACTGGGAAACATAAAGACCACGATTTTCTCAGTTTTTGTTTCATTAGTCTCATAAATTTTATTTATTTATTGTATTTTTGAGACAAGTTTTTCTTTGTATAGCTTTTGCTATCCTGGAACTCGCTCTGTAGACCAGGCTGGTCTTGAACTCAGAGTCACCTTTCTCTACCTCCCAAACTCTGGGATTAAAGGTGTGTGCCACCACCTCTCGGTCATAAATTATATTTAAATACTGTTTTCAAGGGAAGCATTTCACTATTGAGAATGGAGAATATGAGATCCTCAGCACTTCCCTTGTGTATTCTGTAATTACAGTTCTTTTACTTAACTATTTGTGTGGTGTGGAGAACTGTCTCAGTTTACTCTCTACTGCTGTGATCAAGTCCATGATCAAAGCAACTTGGGGAGGAAAGGGTATAGTTGGCTTCATGTCATGTCATAGTCCATCCTTGAGGGAAATCAGAGCAGGAACTCAAGGAACCTGCAAATGTATGTATGTATGTATGTATGAATGTATGTATGTATACATGCGGTTTTAAGGGGTGATGGTTTTCAATTTTGAGAAAGGACTGTCTTGATCATCCTCTATTGCTTAAAGGATTGACTTCTTGTCAAGGGTTTCAAGAATGTGCGGGTGGAAATAACCTGTGTTTCTCTTTTTCTCCTCTGTAGTTATGGACATCGGACAGTGCAGGAGAAGAATGTGACGCAGCGGAGGGGGCCGAAAACTAAGGGCACCCGGTGCCGTCCTCCGTCCCTCAAGAAAACCTTTTTACATCTCCATTCCTTATTCCACTTGGATTTCCTCTAGCAAGGAAGCCCATTCATGTGTATGGGATCAACTGTTTATAGTCTTTTCACACTGCAGCTTTGGGAAAACTCCATCCCTTGATCTGTGTTGTCCCGGCCTTCCTGGTGTGCAGTTACTGCTGTAGAAAAGTATCAGTAGCTTCATTTCATACACACGCGAGTAACTTCCGACCCTTGTGCAGAGGACTGACAGTGCATTTGGTATTTAAGTAATCTGAACCAGTTCTGCAAGTGGCTGAGTCTGTATTACTGTGAAGATACGGAAATGTAGTGCATTACAATTGAAAGTAATTGTAATAATAACTTCCTGATTTCTACATTCCCTCTCTGACCCTTCTTGGGGGGTTTCCTTTCAGAAGCGACTTTTCCATCCTCTTACTGCATACTCCTTTTTAGTAGGAATCCAAAAGTGTTAGATTGAACGGGAAAAGCTCTTAATGCATCCAGTCTGGAAGTCACAGATGGAAATGTCTCCCATGTCACATATTCTGGGGGTCATGTCTGTCTGTGACAACAGAGAGTTTCCTTCATGCATTCTTCATTTGCTGCTGTTTGAGTTGACAACTTCCTTCCCAATAAAAATCACTTACACCTCCTGCCTTTGTAGCTCTGGTATTCACTTTACCTTGTAATAGAAGTAGCATGTTGCTGCCAGAATAGAAGCATTGCTTTGGGCAAATTAAAATGCATGTCCTTTCTTAATCCACTAGAAAGGGAAATAAGTACACACGTCCAAGTCTAAAGTTGAGTACTTTTCCATGCAGATTCGTGCACATGTGAGAAGGTGTCCAGTGTGTCCAGTGACTGTTCTTCAGAGAGCTGTGTGTTTGCTAATCATTGACTGTAGTCCCAGAAAAGCCCTGTGAAAATGTCATGCCCCATGTAACAGCAGAGTAACATAAAATAAAACTACATTTTATAAAACCATTTATTATGGCTTTGTACCATTTGCATACCCATATTTTAAGGAACAGGTGAATTAACTACTTTTTGAAGTTTATTGTTATTTCTTTTTATGTGAAATGTAGTTGTGATACCCGTATTTCTGCATTGTGGTTGGTATACTGTGGGGTGCCTGGCACTGTGTACAATTGATCTATATTTCTCCAGGTCATCTCATGGGCCAGCTCTTCTCAGATGTGAATGATAATGTGGTTAGGTGTCATGGAGTAAAGTGGACACTTGAAAACTAGAAAAGCTTCTCCTGTGCCCAGGAGCCTTGGCTGCTATTAGACTTGGGCTTCCATTACATGAGCATGTAAGAGCAGGAGTTCTAGTTCCCAGGCAACCCACTTTTTAAGCGTTCTGTCTACCACTTGTACATTCATGCTGATTTTATAATATCAGTGTTTCTTTTTAACCTGTATTAGTTTGAGAAATGATGTTTCAAGGCAACATAATTTGAAAAATTAGCATTGTAGGTTTATCCTCTTAGTTTTCCAAAGTGTGAATGTAGAACAATGCTCCATTCTGGCTCTTTCCCTTCCATTTCTCTTGACTCTTTCTTCCCTTCCCTCTCAGAGCTTCGTACATGCTAGAATGTCTCCCACTTGGGTGCATTCCCAGCTCCTTAAACTTGTTTATTGAGGGAATCAAAGCACAGAACTTAAAAGCATTTAAACACAGCATTTAAAAATGTTAAGATGGTCCCGTAATTGATGGCCCCTACTTGCTGGGTAGCCAGGCACACTATGTGTTTGCCTTTAATCCCAACCCTTCGGAGGTAGAGGCAGGCAGCTGAGCTGAGTTTGACCAGCCAGGGCTACATAGTGGGACCTTGTAGAAAGCTTGTTTAGAATAGCTAAGGCTCTAAGTTTGATCCGTAGTTCCTCAAAACAAACAAAAACCTCCCCAAAACAAAAACAGCAAAGAAAGAAAAAGAAGACAGTTAATGGGAGTTTGTTCCCCCTGAACTGCAGTCTGTAGGATACTCTGAAGTTACAGGTACTTGAGTGGCCATGAGAATGTTGTGCATTTGAACTGGGAGACTCTCGTGTTGAGCTGTAAATGGTGAGTAAAGTCAGATGGTGGACTGCTGGGGTGGCCTCTCTGTACTCAGTCCCACATCTGAATGTCTTCTTGCAAGGTTGGAAAGGCAGCTCGGCCCCTAAAAGTTCTGCTGCTCCTTTTTCAGAGCACTGGGGTTTGGTCTCCAGAACTGACAACCACCGGAACTCCTACCCTAGGGTGCCTTCTGGGGCTTTGGTATGCATGTGCACACACAGAAGAATGAATTAATCTTAGAGAAGTAGGAATGTCTTCTCCATCTAGGAGAACTTGATATCGGAAGTCCTGGAGTCTTTGACCTGGTTTATGGCTCCATAGCATTAGATGGGAAAACGACATCTTTCCTCAGGGGAAAGTGTAAATAAGTAAGGGTTTGGAGTGATGGGAGGCTTTAAAGCCATGTTGGAGGGTTTCCTTTTTCACTAATTTTCATTTCTGGGGATTGACCCAGGACCTCATGCTTCTAGGTGTTTGTGGTATACCTAATCCTTGAACTCTAAATTTTTGAAATTTCTTTCCAAGGCTGGGTGTGGTGGCACACTCCTTTAATCCCAGCTCTCAGGAGGCAGAGGCAGGTGGATCTCTTGAGTTCAAGGCCAGTCTGGTCTACAGAATGAGTTCCAGGACAGGCTCCAAAGCTACACAGAGAAACCCTGTCTGCAAAATCAAATTTACGTATTTTTGCTTTGTGGAACAGCAGCGGAGCCTTCTGGGACAGCTGGGTGTGCAGCTAACTGAAGTTTATGGTCTGTTGTTTCCTAGAAGAGGGGGCTGTAAGTAGCTTCCCTTTCCTGTGGACTAGAAGTAGACAGTACTTGCAAAAATCCCTGCTAACCAGGCACCTGTATAATCCTTCCTCACCATCCTACCCCAGTAATGTGAGCTTTTGAAGGATCGCTGGCTGAGGCATTAACTAGGGCTTTGGTTTTCCTTTCTTTCCATCTGGAATTAGTACTAAGTGTGCTGCTATTTCATCCTGGGAGTCTTCTCACCAGGTTCTTCGTTTAAACCATTCGCTGTGATCTCATTTTTTACCCCAGATTTCTGGACCCCATCAAGAATCTTGGAGTAGTGGTTCACTGGTAGACCAGAGACTGGTGGTAACACCACAGCGTTAGAACTATGAGAATAAATAGGTGAGGTTAGTGACCTTTTAGACTTGATGAGTGAAAGATGGTTTGATGGAATGGTGGAGAGATGATCAGCCCAGAAGTCAAGCTGTCTGCCTTCCATGTGTGGGCACTAGTGTTAGGGTCAGGGACTCGGGATCGGATAGAACTTGATCCACACACCTTCACAGCTGCCACCTTCCTGAGCTAGGAAAGCTGCCTGTGACTTAATGCATCAGAGGATTTCCAGACGGGTGGAGGATTGTGGGTATTAGAAGGGAGGGGTAATAGGTTGAGCAGGTAGCAAGCACCTGTAATTCCAGTTACTCAAGCAGAGGCAGGAAGACCCATTCTGAGCCAGGTATGGTGGCACATGTATAATCTCAGTACTTTGGAAGCAGAGACCATCCTTAACTACATAGTGAGTTCAAGGCCCCCTGGGTTACATGAGACCCTCCTGTCTGGGGGAAAGGGAGGAAATGCTGATCAAAATAAAAGGGCTGGCAGTGAATCCCAGTGATTTCTTAGCATGCAAAGGTCTTGGGTATATCAGGACAGCCTAAATTAGAATAGAGGGTTCTAATAAAGTGAAAACTGTCTGCTGTACCAGGTAGGCCTATTGCCCTAGATTGCCAAGGACAGACACAGAAAGTGACTGTAACTTGGGAATGAAAGGTTTAAAAAACCATTAAAGCAGTGATTTTGCTTCTAATTAGCATCCTCTGATGGAAAACTAGGAGACAGTTCTGTTGCTAAGTTAGGAAAAAAATCAGGACCCAGAGAAGAAATGACTTTGTTTCTCTTTAGTCAAGAGTTTACTTGCCTGAGCTGGGCAGTGGTAGCACACACCTTTAATCCCAGCACTCAGGAGAAAGGCAGGCAGATCTCTCTGAGTTTAAGACCAGCCTGTTCTGCAGAGTGAGGGCTACACAGAGAAACCCTGTCTCAAAACAACAAAAAGTTTACTTTAAGCCTTACATTAGCACAGACCTGTAAAGACCACCACTTGGAAGGCTCAGACTGGATTGCACAGAGACTCTTTTCAAGAGGTGGGGAGGGGCACCCACTGTTGTAGCTGTTAGTAGTAATGAAAATGATTTCAGGTTGCTCCCCATTAATGAGATTTTTAAAAAGAATTTTACGTGCATTGGTATTTTGCCTGCATTCATGTCTTTGTGAGGGTATCAGACCCCCTGGAAGTGGAGTTACAGACAGTTGTGAGCTGCCATGTGGGTGCTAAGATTGAACCCTGGTTTTCTGGAAGAGCAGGCAGTGCTCTTAACCACTGAGCCATCTCTCTAGTCCTTACCCCCCCCCCATGAGTTTCTATCTAATCTATGCATACACACAAACTATATATATATAGTTTATATGTGAGTGTGTGTTTAGTTCTTACTATATCTTCTCCATGGTGAGCACCTAACTCCATGTCTGCGCAGCTAATGTGTGTAGTAAACACTCACCTGAACCTCCTGAGCTATAAAAAAATACTCTTCAAGGCAGTCATCTAAGAGTTACGTGTTGAGCTGGGCATGGTGGTGCATGTCCTTGATCCTAGCACTTGGGAGGCAAAAGTAGGTGGGTACCTGAGCATTTGACGGCAGTCTAGTATATATGTAGAGTTCCAGGACAGCCAAGGCTACAGGCTACCCTGTTTAAAAAACAAGTTATGTGTATTGAGTACCAGCTAACAGCTCATAGATGACTGAGCATGGTGTCACATGCCTGTATCCCCACAGCTGGGAAGATAACAAAGAGATTCCAGCCTGGGTTATACCATGACTGGCTGTCTAAAGGGAGGACATTGATAAGAATGTGTCTGAGGAACTGCTTAAATTAGATGATAAAAGATTTTTCCAGTCTTTGTAGACTTGTCAAGTTTTACCAGAGACTTTTCAAATTATGTAGGCAATAAAAATCTATCTTTAGCTGGCCAGTGGTGGCACATGCCTTTAATCCCAGCACTCAGGAGGCAGAGCCAGGCGGATCTCTGAGTTGGAGGCCAGCCTGGGCTACAGAGTGAGTTCCAAGACAGGCACCAAAGCTACACAGAGAAAACTGTGTCTCCAAACAAACAAACAAACAAAAATCCTGACAGGATTTTATTTTTGTTTGTGTGTGGGTGTTTTGCTTGTGTGTGTGTGTATTGTGTATGGTGTGAGTGCATTGCACATGGAGGCCAGGAGAGGGTGTCGGGTCCTATGGAACTGGAGTTCTGGGCAGTTGCTGGGAACTGAACCCAGGTCTCTGGAAGAGCTCTAAACTGCTGAACCATTTCTCCAGCCCAGCTGCCTTTGTGAAGTGGATGGAAAGACTCCGTTTAGTTATAGGAAGAGTGGTACAACGTCCGCATTTGACAAAACTCAGAAAGCCGAACGTGCACATTTTAATGAGATGCACATTGATTAGTCTTTAAAATCAGATGACGTTTCATATCTAACTTAGGCTATCCCCTCTCTGTTTAAGACAGATCTCAGGGGCATACAGTCCTCTACCCCTTTAAGAGCTCTTGACTGTAAGAGCATGGTTGCTCTCACATCTCCCGAAATAGATCTCATTAGACTTCTACATGAAGTGCTTAACTTGAGTGACCTGATACTGAGGTGGTGGAGGTGACATCAGTGAATGACTGGCCTTCCAGCTCTTTTTTTTAGTTAGTCATTCTTTTGGTTTTTCGAGAATGTTTCTCTGTAGCTTTGGCGCCTGTCCTGGAACTCACTCTGTAGCCCAGGCTGGCCTCGAACTCACAGAGATCTGCCTGCCTCTGCCTCCTGAGTGCTGGGATCAAAGGCGTGCGTCGCCGCCGCCGCC